ATGCTCGTCCCCCCCTTACCTCTTCCCTTCCTCCATATGTCACTCAACCTCTAAACTACGTTCTGCTTTCTGTCCTCCCTCCGCCCTACTTCTCCCTGCCTCCTCCCTTTTTTCCATGCCTCCTCTTGACCTTCTCTTAAGACCTCCCTCTGCCCTCCCTTCACCTGGCCACCTCACTTCCCTTCCTTCCTCCAATCTCCGCCTGACCTCCCTCCCTCTATCTCCTCCGTCCTCCTCCTTCCTCCTTCCTCCTTCCTCTGCCCGACTTGCACTGACCTCCTCCTTCCCCCAATTTCCTTCCTCCCCTTCCTTCCTTTGCCCAATCTCTACCTGAACTCCTGCTTCCGCCCTACTCTCTGCCGCCTTTCCCCTGCCTACTGGCCTCCTCCGCACTTTCTCTTCAACCTCTCACTGGCCTCCGTCCGCCTGGCTGCCTCATTCCCCTTCATCCGCCCCCTTCGTTCGCCCAATCTCTGTCTGCCCTCCCCCCAATCTCCTTCCTCCCCTTCCTTCCTCAGCCTGATCACCACCTGACCACCTCCTTCCATTCCTCCCTCCGTTGTACTCCCTACCTGCCCCTTCCTCCCTCGACTGGCGGCCCTCCTTTCGTAACGCCCGACCCATTGGGCGTAAACGCTCCATTTGTTATCAAGATCGCTCCATTTCTTTTAAAGATCTCAACACCGTTGCACACGCTCAAGAAGGAGAGAGGGAAAGCAGGAGAGAGAAAAACACATTTCACCTAACACGTTTCCTCCTCTCGCTCTTCCTTCCTCGCACCTTCTTTGCCCTTGTGTCTCTTCCACCACCACGTCTTCTGCCTCCTCAAGATCCTCCTCCTCAACATTCTCCCTCGACCTTTTTTCTTTGGAGCAGCCTTATGATTAACTGCCCTGCACCAGGTATTTCAGGGTATCGATATTTCTTTCCATACTTCACTTTCTTCCTCCCCAAGCCCTACACACACCACACTGAGTCACCTCTCTCTCTCTCTCTCTCTCTCTCTCTCTCTCTCTCGCGCGCGCGCGCGCGCACGCGCACACGCGCCATCCATCCACACCTCTCGCTGTGTGCTTCTGTGCGCAACCGCACGCGCGACACGCTCGCCCTTATTCACATTGGAAAAAAAATGTGGCGCTAAGCCTTAACGCAAATTGAGAAAGCTAAGAAAAACGAAATGCACTCTCTATATCATTCCCAGATAAGGTAGCACGAAGGGAGGGAGGACAGAGGGCCGAGGAAGGTAACACCACCGGAGGAAGGAGCACAAAGGAGGAAGAAGGGAGGGCTGATGATGAGCACCAAAAGCACGTCTGGATGGATGAGCACGCATCCACGGTGAGCACGCATCCACGGTGACCACGTCTGGATGAGCATGAAAATCACGGATCAATGATGAGCACGTCTGGATGGATTCACGATGAGCAGCGAGCATGAAAAACACGCATCCACGGTGATCACCGGTGGATGGATTCACGATGAGCACGTCAGGATGGATTCACGATGAGCACGCATCCACGGCGATCACCGAGCATGAAAAGCACGGATCGGTGATGAGTACGAAAAGCACGTATCAACGATGAGCACGAAAAGCACGGATCAATGATGAGCATGAAAAGCACGTATCAACAATGAGCACGAAAAGGTCGGATCAATGATGAGCATGAAAAGCACGGATCGCCGATGAGCATGAAAAGCACGTATCCACGATGGCAAAAAAAGCACAGATCGACGATGAGCATGAAAAGCACATATCCACGATGGCACGAAAAGCACGGATCGAAGATGAGCATGAAAAGCACGTATCCACGATGAGCACCAACCACCAAAAGCACGGATCGAAGATGAGCACGTTATCATG